TACGAAATATGCAAATTACGAACTGTTTGACGTCAGATCTGTTACACAGCGTGGACCGTGACTTGTCTAGGTTATGCATGTTTAATGTGTTAATGATGAGCGTGACGTGAGTCGGGAACACTTGCATGGTTATAACAAATACAAAATGTGATGTCATATTTTTACGCATATCGCATAACATTGTTATAATACTTCCATTTTGGTTGTAATTTATACATACCATATGTTGGTATACTACGTTTTATGAACTAATAGAACACAGTATTTTAGTCCGGGAGTAGACTGGTGTATGTTACATGTATAACACATTATCATATGTACTGATTTTATCGTTTGTGGGAGGTTCTTTGCGCAAGGCTCGCACAAAGGTAGGTCTTTGTGTAACGGCCCATAAATGACAAATACCCACTGTCTGTGATTGGCTCATTCAAAATGGAAACCATTATGATGTTAGCTAAACGCACGACCATACAGCATTTGTTTATTTTAAATCAATAAATTGGTAATATGATGACATCATATTCACTATTTATATATCGTGCGACATAACTGACTAAGCAGAGGGCGTCGATTTGAAGAAAAAAAATACAGTTTTCTTGATAGGCGACACTAACTCACATTTTTGTTTTATTTGTATTGTATCAGGGACACGTTTCAGAGAAGAAGACTACGATGTATGTATTCAAATTAAATTTTAACGGTTCGAAAAATAGTCGTGGGGTTCCCTTGGTAGAGAATGGAACCCTGTTTGATTGGTCAAAACAAGTCACGTGACTCTCTTGCTCTCGGCGAGATCTTGGCGGCCATTAATTGCTAATAAGATCTATTTAACAATGGTTCTGATGGTAAAAAGTAAAATATCACAATTGTGTTTAGCTAACCTGTAATCAAAATAGGAAATTCTGATAATTAATATTATTTTTTTAATGAAATTAGTCCCGTAGGAATTGTTTCAATATATCTATTATCAAAACAAAACAAAAAATATGTAGTACGTGAGGTTCTCTTTTATCGACTGACATGTTTGTATTTGGACCATGAAAAGGTGGGAATGTGCATCACCCTCGGATTTCGTCGATAGAAGGCGCATACAATTTCATTTTTTTTAAATAACAACACCTCCGAACTTTTAAAACTTATAGTTTGTATTCACAATAATCGTTAATAAAATAAGAAATAACTTTCTATTTATTCCCTGAACAGATACAAGGCGGGTTGGTGTTCTCAGTTGTCTGCCGTACTGTGGCGCTGTTTAATTGTTATTCGTAGAGAACCAGTAGCGCTGAGAGTGCGTCTTTTAAACAATATGGTGAGTGTTGTTACATTAAAATGTGGGATACATCGAATCCGATTTGGTGTAAAGTTGTGGGCAATTGAACTGAAACATTTAGATTTCAAGGTGGAATTTCGAACCATATAGTAGTGCCGAGGCCTGGAAATGTTTTATTTCATCATGATTACTAGTATCGAATGTAACGTGTGTTCGTTTGTTTGTGTTTTAGATACTCAGCATTGTTATAGGTCTTATATTTCTACAACTAGATTACAACCAAACCAGTATACAAAATATCACCGGATGTCTGTTTTTTGTCATGGCGGCTGTTAGTAACGATTCCTTCTTTCCTGTCGTCCAGGTGAGTCTCGCACCCATCATGTGACATTTGAAATCTACGACTTGCATTTGCTGTAAAGATGATACACCATTCGCGGATTTCTGTTTCCCGTGTTTTTGCGTCCGATCACGTCATGAACATGCAGGATCGTTCCCAGTTTGTTCATAAAGTACACGGTCATCAGTTAGAATTTAAACTCAGAGGGCGGGATTCAAAGGTTCTGGAAGGTAGCACTAATTATGTAGTCATAAGGTATACGTAATTGGCTACCAAGGAAGCGTTTGGCGTCATAAGGAAACCGCAAAGTGATTCAGTGTTTCCATTTTATTGAAATATGAATCTCCAAACGTCACTAAATGGATTGTTTTTAATATTAACAGCTAGTGCCTAAAGAATGGCCTATTGTTCTCCGTGAACATTTCAACGGGATGTATCGAATTGATGTCTATTTCATTGCGAAATGGATGACTGAGGTAAGAATCTAACACACCAGTCTAAAAATTGCGCCCTCTGATAACAGAGAGATTCTGTGACATCAAAATGACTTATCCTCGGGGACGGAGCTACGTCACAGAACGTTCCACGTTGCTAAGACGTGCACCACTGCACCATGTATTTCTGTGGGGTAATCTTGTTAGACTGTTCAGGGGAGTCTGAACAACTATTCCAAAGTACTATTTTCTGATAGTTTCGGTCTTTGTTTTCACCTTGATGGTTTCCAGGCAGTGAAAATGCCCGGATGTCCGCTCGAGAATATATGAAAAGGAAATGTCGTTTAAATCGACATTTCTGTGTTTTTTAAAAGTGTGTTTATCATCTAAATTATAGTAACATCTGTCAGAAACATCGTCGTCATTGACTGACGTCTTCAAATTAACGATCGAAGCTTTTAAATAGATTTCGTTACAAAAGCACTACGTTACCAGAGGGCGCAATTTTTAAGACAGGTGTATTACACGTACCATTTGATGTATGGTTATCCAATTACTGCTGATCTACTATATTATTGTTCTAGATCGCATAATGTTATTAAACGTATGTTTTTTTTGTATGCGTGAATAAATAATTTATTAATGTAAATTGTTGACTGTACTCCCGATGTTATATTTGCTTATATCTATTTTCCAAACAATGATCGCTGTGAAAGCAAACATTCGAGTTTGATTTGTCTATATTCTAATTTATTCACAGCTTCCAATCTGTATAGTTTTACCAATAATTTATACAAGTGTGATTTACTGGATGGTGGGTAAGTATACCAATTGTCTTACAACACAGAACACCAACTACGCCGGCGGTACAGTTGCCTGGGGCACTTGGCTGGTATAAGTAGGGCATACAAATGTTCTGCAAAATCAACCGACAACGACCCCTTCCAACTGTTTTTTTTTAAACAAATATACTCCTCCTTTTTTGATAAAAGCGGACTTCTCTAAAAATCTAAACATCCCTATTTTAGAGAAACGCAAGATGCGATGTCTTATCGTTCTGTTCGAAGCGCTCTGTGCATTTGAGGTATTCACTTGCTTGTTGTCTTGTTCCCCTGCTTGACTTATGAATAGCAATAATTTTTTTTGAAAAGTACCTTTATTTACTTTTTGCAAAGTACCCCTATTCCTGCTAAATTGCTAAATTCAAAACACAAATGCGTATGGAGTCCCTCGCCCAGCCAAGTGCCCCGGGACAGTAAACGTGAACCTCGCAAAGTATACTTTTCTCTGCGAAATTCAGGCCACACATGCGTACCCCTCGCCCAGCCAAGTGCCCCGGGACAGTCAACATAATCATTGCCATATTCACACATTACGCAACCACCGTTCAATTATATAATAATAAGAACCAATGCTGCCATATTCATTGTAAATTTTATTTTACTAATTAGTTATTTAGTTTTATTAGTTATTGTATTTTATTTAAATTTATTATTTATTTGTTGTTATAGTTTTTTTTTACTTATTCTTACTCATACAATGGTTGTCTTTTTGCTTTATATTTTTCACATATTGTAAAGCATATGTCCTATGTGAACATCTACGTATGTTTTTTTCTTCCCAGGATTTAACCCGATGATAGAAAGATATTTTATATGTCTAGGCATAATGTTGATTGTCACCAACACGGGTGTGTCTATAGGTAAATACCAATTATATTTTCAGAAAAGACATTCACAACATTTGACTTATCAGAACGTTCACCGTGACGTCACCGCGGGTGTAAACGTTCCTGAAAGGAAAGACCCAGTCTGCGCGTGTAAGTAGGCATAACGACGTTAATCTGATTGGCTTTGGAACATTACGCCAATTGTTATAGCCAATCCAGTTGTCTCAATTGGATTTGAAGGAAACGTTCAGTAAATATGTTATAAGTTAGCTATAAAATATGTAAATTGCTTTTCTGAAAGTACTGTACTGGTTTCATGGTTATTTACATAAATAACACCATCAAGACTCGGACATGGGCTGCCATCTTGGAATCAGTCGAGTTTTCTATTGAAATGGCCTATGTATGTATTGCCTAGCATGTTTATTTTGGATGAAGATATGTTGAATGTATATGTTATTGATTATGACTACAGAATTATTAAACACACGTCTCAAACAACCCGCGAAACACAACTAAAGTGCACAAACGCTACTGAAAACGTACTTAATGTTCATAAAGAGGATTTGATTTCGCATGTGCAGTGCATTCGATTTGGTAACGTCATTTACAAATGTGTTACTTGCATTCGTAGGTTACTTGGTATCTTCAATTAGCCCTTCGGTTACCATAGCAACGCAGTTGGGGTCAATGTTGTTGATTTTCTTTGTTTTATTCGGTGGATTTTTCCTTAGTATTGAGTAAGTATATTTGAATAAATTATACGATCATGGGAGATGACATGTCTGTGTACAATCAGGGCCTGGCCGATTAACACAGTTAATTTCTTATTATTACGACTAAAATTGTAGATGAAACAAACTGCAAGCCGGCAAGTCGACGGTGTAGTTCAAGAGGTGGATCAATGTTGGTGCCCCCTTCCTCTAAGGCACAATTAAACAAGAATGCGCCAGCCATAGAGGGCGCTCTCCAACTGGTATTAAAATACAATTGCATGTATATAAATCTGATTATCTGTTTATAATCTATGCTTTATTGTTAACCAAAAAAGGTTGACTATGTTTTACAGTTATCGGTAAAGTGGGTTATTATTCGTTGATTTGAAAAAGTTTTCTTTTTACTCATTCAAGAAAGATTTCCAATTAATTACATTTCAGTATGATTCCGAACTACTTTATATGGTTGAGGTACTTATCACATTATACCTTTGCGTTTGAGGCACTATGTATAAACCAGTGGTATGGCTTTGAAGGCTTAGGTAAGATATCATCATATGTCATGTGACATATCACGCGAGACTTGTAACAGAGGGCGCTCTTGGACTTTTCACAAATCGTACTCTTATTATGGTATACGCTTATGCCATTACTATAATAAGCTATTTAAACATAGAGGTATTGTGAATATATTAAGTAATGGATGAATGTACACATTATGACGCACAAAACCTCTAGATATAGAGGTTATTTAATGAGTATTACAAAAATGAAAGCACAACGGATAATTGGAACTTTGGTAACAATCAAATTATTGTTGCCTGTGGGCGAATGCACTTTTTTTATATACCATTTTTACAAAACACAGTATAAGGGAACTAAGTCAGATATGTGTTAAAATATTTGAATTCAGCTTTCTGTGACATAATCTTAAGTTTCCTACTAGATTCAATTGCTCACAGGGGTGTGATATTGTGTGAATACAATTTTACATAATGATTGTCAATTTTGCGAAAATGAATACTGAAGGATTATACCGAAATCTACTTCATACTTCTTAGTCACAATTTTTACGGACACTGATAAAACCTCAATGTACTACACATTAAATATAACCCTCCCATTGTGATATTCCACACACACAAGTGAATGCATCGTTGTTGGGTGTGAATCATACAATGCCATCATGTCAGTAACTATCTGGTGTATACATAATTATATATTTGTTTTGTTCATGATAGAGTGTAATAATGCTACTCAGCTTGTTGATAGGTGCATAACTTCAGGTGATCAAGTGTTAGAGTTATATAGCTTTGTACCAGTGAGTATGGTCTTTATATATTGTTGATGACACACTAGGCAGACTTTTACTTAAATTACATGTACATAAATAAGAATATTATGTTGTTTCTTTTATTAATAAATGTAAATTTCAATTATACACATATTTTCATAAGTGATAGATGTACTGTGGCACTGCGTGATGACAGTGGCCCGCGTGACGACTGTGGCACTGCGCAACAACCAGGACGCTGTGTGGCGACCGTGGCACAACGTAACGTGTGTGGTGTCTCAAGACTATGGTGGTGTTGCATGGCGATTGTGGCGCTGCGTAACGACTGTAGCACTGTGTAACAGCTGTAGCGTTGCATAACGACTGTGGCGCTGCGTAACGACTGTGGCGCTGCATAACGACTGTGGCGCTGCGTAACGACTGTAGCACTGTGTAACAACTGTAGCGTTGCATAACGACTGTGGCGCTGCGTAACGGCTGTGGCGCTGCGTAACGACTGTGGCGCTGCATAACGACTGTGGCGCTGCGTAACGACTGTAGCACTGTGTAACAACTGTAGCGTTGCATAACGACTGTGGCGCTGCGTAACGGCTGTGGCGCTGCGTAACGGCTGTGGCGCTGCGTAACGGCTGCGGCGCTGCATAACGGCTGTGGCGCTGCATAACGACTGTGGCGCTGCGTAACGACTGTGGCGCTGCGTAACGGCTGTGGCGCTGCGTAACAACTGTGGCGCTGCATAACGACTGTGGCGCTGCGTAACGACTGTAGCACTGTGTAACAACTGTAGCGTTGCATAACGACTGTGGCGCTGCGTAACGGCTGTGGCGCTGCGTAACGGCTGTGGCGCTGCGTAACGGCTGCGGCGCTGCGTAACGGCTGTGGTGCTGCATAACGACTGTGGCGCTGCGTAACGGCTGTGGCGCTGCATAACGACTGTGGCGCTGCGTAACGACTGTGGCGCTGCGTAACGACTGTGGCGCTGCATAACGACTGTGGCGCTGCGTAACGGCTGTGGCGCTGCGTAACGGCTGTGGCGCTGCGTAACGGCTGCGGCGCTGCGTAACGGCTGTGGCGCTGCATAACGACTGTGGCGCTGCGTAACGACTGTGGCGCTGCGTAACGGCTGTGGCGCTGCATAACGACTGT